TTTTTTTTCCCAAGTCAGATGGTTTTTTTTTTTTAATCAATGCCATGTCATTGTCCAATCATCGTCTTTTGTTAACGGGCCACAAAAATGAAACGGAAAAATGATGTTTTCTAACGTCATCCTTAACAGAAGAGGTGATTTGCAGATTTCATGTAGTAGAAGGGCTGATTTGCCAGTGTTTCTTGTACAGGGGCTGAATTGCCACAACATTGCAGGTACAGGGGCTGAATTGCACCTTCTGCCTTTCTTTACATTTAGATGTTGATGTTGCATTAAACACCGTCATTTAGCTCTTAACTTTGAGAAATTTGAGCTATATAATGCATGTATTTAATTGTAAAAAATTACCACATTAACATCTAATTATAAAAAAATTATCATACAAGCAAAAAGAACAAACTATTGTTTAATTTACGTGATTGCACATGATTTCATATATTATAATGACTAATTTGCTTAAAATCCAAGTATTTAAGGGTTTTTATGCCACTTTTTTCCCTTAAAAACTTATGTGAGAAATGGAAAAAGTTTAGGGGCTTAACATTTGGGTTTTGCCAAAAGTAAATGACTGATTGCCTTTCTAGAATATGCAATTCACCATTTCAATCAATGCCGGTTTTTATTTTCATACTTACATGCCTTTCTTGAGCGTCACCATCAGATAAATGTAACGTGAAAACTGTTGCTGGAGTGTGATCCAGACATGTTCATCAATCACATGAAGATAGTCAAATTAATTATTTGTTGGTATGAATATAAACAATTTCAGTTCCTTTAAATAAGATTTTAAATTTTAATTTCGTGAATAAAAAAATATACGTTAAAATAATTTTTTTATGAAATTTGATCTAATTTGACTTCGAATTCATCAAAATTAAATATAACTTTTAAATATTAAGAGACTAATAAAAAAAATATAGTAACGGTGAGTATTGACATCATAACATAAGATTTCCATGTTTAGAGCATACCAATGCAAATAGCAATGTTGTAGTAATAATAAGTGTAGACATTTTAAATTTATGATAAGATTACATTGTATTCATAAGTTGATAACAAAAATAGACTCTAGTTTTAACCCATGAATTTGATTTTTCAACTTTCAATCTTTCATAAAATTAAATCAAAGTTAACATCGTGAGTGACATAGATGTTAAGTCTCACCTAAATTTGATGTTTGAATGCAGCCTAGCCCTTCATTCTCTCCTGGGGACCCAAAGAAACCTGTGCCACGTAGGAAAATGGAAAAGGAACATGCTGCACATATTTCTATCCCAGTTGCCAAACAACCAACTTACGTAAAACGCTACGTTTCGTCGGAATAAACAAACGTCCGCTTGTCGGTTCAAGGACATTTCTGTCATTTCATTAATTCCCCAAAACCCCGTTTCAATCCAAAACGCCACCCGCCTTCAACAGCTAACGGAAAACGGACTCATCCGCTATGGAAACTCTCCGGTGGTGCTCTCCGATCATGGATCGGCAGCATATTTCTAAATTGACCGTTTTGCCACCCTTTCGTTCGCACGCCTAGATTCCAATCCATCTTCACCGTCGAATTTGATAACGCAATGCTATATGCTTAGTTTGATATTACTAACTTATTAGAATAGTTGTAGGTTTTTTGATATTTTAATATTTTAAAAATATATAAAATATTATATATATTTAATATTTAATTTAATTAACATTTTATATATCTTTAAAATAATAAAAAAATATAAAAATTAAAAGGTAAAAGTATTAAAAAGTGTTATTAAATAAAATTATAATTATAATATCATGTAAGATATGATTTTATTATCATAACATATTATTAATAAATATGACGTATTATTAAATAAGTAAATATATAACATTATAAATAAATATTTGAATAAAAAAACTAATTTTATAACTACACAATGGGGAGAGAAGGGGAATGATGAGTTTATTTTATTAGTCTTATTATAATATTTAAATGTTATAATTTAATTATTTAAAAAATTCATCTCTCTCATATCTTTTTTTTCTCAAATTTAACATATTGTAAAATTCTAATATTATATGTTATTATAATTGTATAATTTTTTTTACTAATGACTTATTAATTTAAGTAAAATAAACTTAATTTTTTTAAATAAAATTTTAAATTAAAATTTTATAAATAGAATAATAAACATAAAAAAATTTTTCCTTCTAAGATACGGCACCATTCCATTCAAAATTAATTCTAATTTAGTGTGATCGGAGATTAGTAAAAAAAATAATTATATAAAATTTTACTTTTTATTCGAGGACCCAAAAGGCCTATCCGTACGGATTCGTCGTGGGCCGACGCTCAGGATGGACAAGTTCGCAGACCTGAAATCGGACGGACTGGGGCCTTGCTCAGGATGTCAATTTCATCTGGGTCATGTCCATTGTGCCCGATCCTGTAAACCCAGTTCATTCTTATGAAAATTCGCCTCAAAGATTTTATTTTTACCATTATTTAAATCGTAGTTTTTATTTTTACTATTATAGAAATCTAGTTAACTGACTTTCATGGCAGATTCTTTGGTTTTTCTTGGATGTGATTATGGCGAACAACATATCTATGGCGAATGCATTGAGCCATATCTCCAACGGAGGCCAGAGCCATTCCATGGTCTAGTGTTTTTTGGAACCATGATTATGCTCCCCTTCGAGTGGCCATGGGACTGGTTCTTCAGTCCCAGGATTCATCCTCTCTAGTGTTGTCGCCAATTCATCAGATTGAGGTACACTAGTTCGTAAATTTTTGTTATCTAAGTTGGTTTCGCAGTGAATAAGAAGTGATGAATCTATTGTGCTGTCATTCATCAAACAGGTTATTGATATCAATATGTCGTAGAAATTTTTGCACAGCCTTGAAACCTAACGCGATTTCTTTAAGAAAAAAGTGTTGTGTAGTTCAGATTGCATTATATTATATTACACGGTTAGATAATAAGTGGCTATGATATGTTTTTTTTTTTATTCAACTATCCATATTTTACAGTTTAAATTACAAAACAAAAAACTCTTTCTTTAATGTTGTCATATAGGGCATTTGGATACTAATACCATGCAAAAATAGTCAATTCTACTATTAAAGATGTCATTGCACATGGTAGTTGTTTTTCTTAAATGGGGTTAAAACTCTCATGACAGGGGAAGAAGCATGTATACAATCATATTCATATGATTATTAGGTTTGTTTAAGCCATGCATCGATTTCGGCAACCGAGTGTTTGTGTATGTAATTATGGTGACATTTAAGTACACAGGGCATCGAACTAAACTATCTGATTTTAGTATGGCTGACGATGAGGTCAGTCAGCATTCCAAGCATAAGCAATGATTAGTTCATCCATAAAATTTTCATTGCCTTCAGCTTAAAAATAGAGACTAATCACTATTAATAACTTTATTTTAAACTTTTGAGAACTAATGAACTATAACTTAAAAGAGTTGTTAAATTAGTGATAGATTTTGATTTAAGTTCTTTTAGTACTGAAATGAAACTCTTTTCTGTTGGACCATTTAACAACTCAAAAAGCTACCATGTGTTCCTTTAAAAAGGAACCATGTGTTCCTGCTGAGGACAACTTAATTTTAACCCAACAAAAGAAAAGTTCTGACAACTCATAACAAGCCATTCAATACAAAGCTTCAACATGGTACATTATATTGTAAGTTTTGACAGGAAGAAGAAGGCAAAAGCTAGATGTCCCATTCTGAGTAACACAATCATAATGGACAGATTTTTCTGGCCAAGATGGGTACTAGCCACCAACCTGAGTGGCCATTGGACTGGTTCAGAATATCAGAATATTATCACTAGACTGGACTGATATCAGTAAATGCTCCTTTTGAGTGGCCGTTGGACTGGTTTAGAATATTAGTCTAGTCCAGGGATTATCCATTTCTGGGGAAATTTTCTTCATTTTGATGATTATTTTCTCCTTTTCTAATCATAAGTAAAAAAGAACAAGAAAAAATTGGATATAAATGTATTTTCTTCCTTAATGTTGATTACTGAAAGTTCTTTGTTGCTCTTTTCTATCTTTCTTTTCATAAGTACAAAAGGGACGTTCACAGCATTGCGCATCAATCCCGAATAGACCCAGAACTAAAAACATTCATACCAACATTACTTTTCTTTTAAGTTTTATAGATGTAATTTATATAATAACAAAAAAAATATTATGTAGCTTAAACTGCATAATTTAAATCATTGTACTAAAATGGATTCTTGATATCAAGTGCTGTACCCTCCATTTAATAGTTTTATTTTACTCTGTTGTGTAGTTTAAATCGTCAAACATCAGATCAAACTCATATTATTATAATAATAATGATAATGATAACAATTTTAATTTGTTGGGAATAATAACAATAATAAAGCACTACGACTGATGATAGCATAGTATATATCTAAATCAATATTAAAGTCGGTGGACCCTAATTAAGAGTTGGGTTCGCCTGAGTCAAATTATTGATGCATATTCAAGAAAAGGGTGCTGGAATTGATTGAAGAAATGAAACAGGCTTCTGGTTTCTGTAAAAATTCCACAGGCATTGAAGCATAGCAGTTGTGATTGTGACATTTGGAGGAGAGAAAGAGAAAGCACACCCTCTTGAAGCTACAAGTGCAAACACAACACACACTGCCCTTAGAAACTTTTGGCTCACTCCTCACAAAGCCCCTGCGTCACATTATTGGAACTGCACAGCCGCAAATGGCAGAGGGTATGCACAAAAACTCTTCTTTTAGTCCACTGTTTCACTTCCTATAAAAACAAACCCAGAATTTCGATCACCCCAGCATCAGCATTTAATGGGGGTTTATGGGTTTTGAGTGTTTTGAATTCTTCAGGTTTGTTTCTTCTCTTATTTTGATTGATTTCTTTGTGCTTGTCAGTGATTTCTCAGGTCCAGATACATGGATTTATAGGTCGGTGATGTTGAAGTAATATTCTTAATCTGAATTGGTTTATTTTCTGATTAATTTTGATGATTATACTTAGAGAGCTTGCCTGCTTCTAACGAACTCTATGTGTTCGATAAAATACCTCACCGTGTCTGATTGTTGGTTAGACATCTTAACTTTGATGTTTCCCTGACTTCTTGTTCTTTCTTCAACATAAGGTATTGTTAGAGAATGGAATATGGTGTGCAATGCATTTTGGTTACAATAATTTCATAAATTCTCAATGGAGAAGAAGAGTTCTTTGTTTGATTGGTTGAAGAGGATATTCATTTGTGAGACAGAAACAGAGAAGGTTAATTTCTATTATTTTTTCTCGATTATTCATCCTTTTTTTTTTTTTTTGAATAATTGTTCTAACTGTTCTTTTTCAATCTCTTATGCCTTTCAGAAATCAAGGAGGTGGAGATGGTTTCTCGGAAGTTTTATGTTTAAGCAGCGTCACCTGGCACTTCTAGCACAAGAGAGAACTTTGTGTGAAGCCACAGAAGAACAAAGAAGGCATGCTTTGAATGTTGCCATTGCAACTGCAGCTGCAGCTGAGGCTGCAGTTGCTGCTGCACACGCAGCAGCTGAACTAGTCCGTCTTGCAGGTGCCTCAAAGTCTTACCATAATTTTTCATTTAGGGATAGAGAATGGGCTGCTATTAAGATTCAGAGTGCTTTCAGGGGACTTTTGGTGAGCATATTGAAGTCTTTGGGTTTTTTTTTTTTTAACTTTGGATATTGTGGTCATCTTGAGCAATATAGTTATAGTAATTCGGTACCTAACCAGATGTTAGTGGCTATGCTGTTTCAATAATCATGCTTATCTAGCTGTTCATGAATTTGTTCTCCTATTCAGACATAATTTGATATACAACTGGTCATGAAACAGGCAAGGAAAGCACTGCGAGCGTTAAAGGGGTTGGTGAGGCTTCAAGCCATTGTTCGTGGCAGAGCTGTGAGACGCCAAGTGATGGAGTCTTTGAAGAGTTTGTCATCCGATGCTAAATTGAACTCAGAGGACAATGGTAGGGGAACTTCTACTGGAAAGGCAATCTGTCAAGATAGCAGGAAGAAACACTGCCCGAGGATCAAAGAAGAGTTGGGGGATGGAGAAATTAAAGCAAGTCCAAGAAATTGGAATCCCAGCTTACTTTCAAAGGAAGACATTGAAACTGAAAGGTTAAGAAAGCAGGAGGCAGTAATCAAAAGAGAGCGAATGATGAAATATTCGTATTCTCACCGGGTAATTTCTCTCATATATCATTGTCATCATGCTTCATTGCATGAGTGAATGCAGAAGAAGGAAAAAAAAAAAAAAATACAGACTGGACCATCTATTCCTTGTTATATGATTATATCATCAATAAATCAAAATTATAATTTCTCTGTTCTGTGATTTTGTGTACAATTTTTCTCCAGGAGAGCAGCAGTACTTCATTGCTAGACGAACCAGCATATGACAAAGAAACTGAGAGGATGAGCAGCCACCTAAAACAAGGGATAGGTGGTTTAGGGGCTAATAAAATGGAAGGACTGGGGAGTTCAAAACCAAGAAATACACGAAAGCAAGATTCATTAGATGGACTTAATTCATCAATTCAATTCCCAAGGCGATCATTCGGTCATTCAGGGCTTAATGCTACTGGGGATTATGGTTCCCTCCCAAATTCTCCTTGGTTCCCTTCTTACATGGCTGCAACACTGTCTGCCAAGGCAAAGGCAAGGTCACTGAGCACGCCAAAGCAACGTATAGGATTTCTTGATACTTGCTTTGATCAGAGTGTGAGAAACAAGAATGGAATTTTTACTTGGTCTTCCCATAACGGTGAGCCATTTAGCATGAATGAAAACAGAAGCATTTCTCGACAGTTATCTGCAAGCATCAATCACCATAACTGAGTTGATATTTGCTTAGTGGGATTCATGAAGCTCAAACTTGATAAGGCAGCTCCATACACTAATTTCAACAAGACACTGAAGCATCCTGAAGTTGATAATGTTTCCAGTGTTCTGGGAAAGATATGGAAGGGGAACTGGTGACAGGGTATGCATGTTTATGATGGCTAGATCTCTTTTTCTGGTATATATAGCTACAGAGAATAGTTTTTTTTTTTTCCCTTGATGTTTGTGTTTCCTCTGTTTCTTTTTATTTTTGGGAATGGGGAAGGGGGAGTTGCTTTGGTTTTTGTGTTATTGAAAGAAATTTGTTACCAAATAAATAGCAGACGTTGAATTCAAAGAATTTTCATCCAATTCTAAGTTCCATTTCTAAATCATTCATCCAGTTACATATGGGTGCAAGGCTTATATTACTGTTCAACACACCCCCTGTCTTTGGGCAGCTCCGAAGAGCATTCTTTTGGATCTTGTACCCATGTATATAGGCTTATATAAAACTACTTACACATGTTTAAGTTGATCTTACCCTTCAAAATAAACCTATTCCAAGTTTTTTCACCAGAGGCAACCTCTTTGTTTGTTAGATCATTCTCTTTATAAAAGATTAGATTTTCCTTACATTTATTTAATTTTAAAATGAACCTTATCTTAGAAAGGATTCAATTTCTTGAGGAGATTATGCCACGAGGAGTAAATCTTCATTTATTTATTTTGATTTTGAATTGTATGGTATAAAATAATTTTTTTTTCATTCCTTAATTCACCCTATATACATATTATGTAATTTAAATTCAAAAAATAAATCTTGTTATGACTTATATAAGTTAACTTGTAAATATTACCTCATTGCCTGCTTTAAAACTCACTCAGAAACTCCTTCAATCAATGCCTCTTTTGCAGGAGATGAAAGTTTAGAAGTTTGACTTATAATTTATTGAATCAAACTTCAAGATGTCGCAGTCACTTAAATTTGTGTAGGCCATTGATTTTATTCCTTTTCAAAAAGGATGTAGAAAGAAACAGATGAAGAAAATAATTGGGTGCCCCTCTTCTTTATTTTATTTTATTTTATTATTATGATACTTAATGAAAAATTTTCTTATTAACAATGTATTCAAAAACATCGGCAGAAGTTTTAGGAGCACGACGCATGAACCTAGACTACACATATAACTCAGAACTCAAACATGCATACTTGTGATAACATGAAACTCATGATTTGTAGGACTGGAACCTATATAGCTCTTAATGAGTAGTCTAATTTATTAAACCCAAAATGCATATCTATGGTTGAATATTTCACTAATAAACAGTTGTCATTTTTCAAATAAAGTACCACTTACAAGATTTTAAGTTTTGAAGTGATCAAATAAAATGGAATTAATTTTTTAAAATACAATAAAATGATATAGGGTGTGTTCTTAAAATCAATTAGAGAGAAATTAGTTTCAAACAACATGCACTATAACCAAAAAACCATGATCATCCAAAATAAAAATAATTAACAAAGGGTTTTTCTACATTTATTGTATTTTTTTATCATTACTATACATAATAAAATTAAAAGTTGATATTAATTTTATTAATTGTTTAATAAAAAATATTCATGTGTCATAAATATTAAATTAATACTAAAATTTTTATTTATTATGTAAATTAATACATAATTAAGATAAAAAAGTATAATAAATACATTTTTATCTTGATAGAAAAACCCATTAACAAATTACAATAGCAAGAATCATATAACTTTCAATAATCTAAATTGTTCGTAAATTAACTGGGACATTTATTTGGGCACTTCCTTGGGTACAGGGGCAACACTGTTCCCTTGCATCTATCTATATATGCATTTATGTGGTCATACAATACAAATTAAGTGCCCTTATTTTCCCTACTTCCTTAATTAAAGTTGACCATATATTTAGGCTGCTTGTTTGGAGAAAACAGCCCCCAGTGTTTTTCATACTCGGGTTCCTTGTTATTCTCATCAAACATGCCAAAAATGTATGTCTCGATGGGCTTTCCAGGCTTCTTCGGAGTCCCTCCCTTCACATGTTGAATCAGATTGTTGTTATAAGTCCTTGCATTATTAACCGTCGTTGCCGTTCCACCAGCAGTAGGCCAGCCACTCTGTCTCTGATACAACAATCTCTAAATTGCCTTCACCGGACTTCTCAAGCGCAGCATAGACTGCGTCAAGAATTGCATCGAAAAGATTATGGTACTGTAGAGACCCGTCTTGCACCACTAGCGTCGGAGTCTCGAAGAGGGCGTGATTAAGGGGGATGTCCTCAGTTTTGCCTATGTAACTGAAGTAAGGGTACAAGTTGACCAGCAATGGAGCTTGTGTGTCCACCAAGAAACGAATAACAGGGTTTAGAATCAGCATATATTCACCCTTGAAAGACCCATTGGACGGTGGGAAAGATTCTCCGAGGGCCCCGGTGCCGATAGCCGTGGAAACTTTGATTCCAAGTCCGGCAGCCGGAAGTGCATTTCGGATGTTCTGCATGGCGGGGACTAGAAACTGTGCAAAAGAATCCGAGGGCTTAACTTCATTCCCAACGGCTATGTAGCGGAACTTGACGTTGGCGTGGTTCTCGACGTTGTTTTGGACCCAAGCGTTGGCATTGTCCTGGCTGGCAGCGATGCGTGCGAGATCGGTGTTGGGGACGCCGAGCATGACCTCAATGTTGGTGCCTCCGAGGGCTTGGAGCGCAGCTTGATCCGGATCGTAGAGTCTCATCCTTCGGATGTTGTATTGGTTGTAGAGAGCTATGACTTCTGGGCTGGGCGGTAAGTTGTTGCCCATCATGCCATAACAAACACCAATTTGGTCACCTGCATAAGATTGAATTCATGACCAACTTGAACTTTATATGGGTAACCATTATTTAATTTCGCTTAAATAAATTTTAGGCTGTGATTAATTTATACTCTATAGTATATATATAGCTATAGTTTTTAATTTTTAATTTTGATTTTTATTAATTTTGTAATTATTAAAAATCAAAATTAAAAATTTATTTAAGATAAGTTTTAACACTAATAAAAAAATATATTTATAAACTTATTTAATAATATTAAAATTATTTATGTTATAATTTTTCCAATAATCTCGATAATATACTACAACAAATTGTGTCTTCAACAACCAAATTCTATTAATCCCGTAGTTAATAATAACAAAAAATTCACTCAAACAATGGTATTTTCATCTTATTTATAGGGTTTATAGAAATTTGTTTAAAGGACCATAGCTAATTTCTCGTTGTTAGTTGCATTATCTCTTTATTTTTAAGATTAAACCCTATTTTGTTTTTATACTTTAAAGAAAAATTCCCTTTTGATCTTTGTACTTAAAAAAGTCACTTTTGATTTTTGAAGTTTATTTTTCTAATCACTTTTAGTCCTTTCATTATTTTTTTGCCTTTGTGGCACATTAATTAACTACAGAAGCTATTTTTTTCCTTTACACTAATAATTTGGAAATTCTGTGTGTAAAAATTAATGAAATGTACAAAATTTATTGTACACATTAACTTAAAACTTATTTAATTACGCAAATTTTTTCAAAACTAATTTAAATTTATTTGTAATAATTAAATTATAATTATAATGAATTTATCAAAAACTCTTCATCTTCTTCCCCAATACCCTATTCTTTCTTCTCCTATCTCTAAAGAAATCCTGTCACCTGTACTTAATCCTTATCTTCGAATTACTTTTCTTCACTTTTCTCGATGCCTAAACCATTATCAATATTAAATTGGGTATGCGGCGTATGCCAATTCCAGATGGACGACTCTTGTCTAGAGGTGGTTTGAAATAATACTCAGAGAGAATCAAGTATTTTCTTTTTTTACCAAGTTTACATGGGTGAAATTGAACCCACCACGAGGAGAGGGGAAATGCACTGCAAGGTAACCCTATGTTGCTGGGCCCAAAGGGCCAGGTGCCAGAGAGAATCAAGTATTGGTTTGTAATAAAAGTGAAATGTTAATGTGAATTTGTAATTTTGTCATTATTTTGTTTTATGAGATTTTCCACGTAATTTATATAAACAAGAAATCAAGTATTTTTTGTTAACTAACATGCTATATAGGCAAAAAAGTAACCAAAGGATTAAAAGGGGTTGAAAAAATAAATTTTAAAAATTAAAAAGGGTTTTCTTAAGTATAGAGTTCAAAAAATGACATTTCTTCAAATTATAATACCCTAAAATAAAGTTTTAACCAATTTTTAACTAAAAGTATTTAAATTTTGTTGTTGTTTATATATATATATATATATACTAAACTCTCTAGTATTTAAAAATTAAATTAGATTTGACTAATATGAAATTGAATCACATTAAAATTGAGAAAATTTTCTCAATGATTGTTTTTTTATTCAGAAAAATCAAACTTAAAATCTTAATTAAAATGAATCAAGATACCTCCACTCAAATTAATAAGTTATTAATAGAAATCCTATGGTAAAATGTTCATGAATATTTTACAAAAGCTTTTAATAGAAAATTTTGGCGCTTGAAATAAGTGATAAAAAATGTGATTTCCTTCTTTTGCCCCTATCTTCTCAGTTGATTATGTTCTTGAGTTAGGGCCATCGTAGTAACTTGCAAATAACCTTTTTTTTTTTTCGTCCTCTCTTTCCTCATTCTCGCCCGCATCTAGAACGCCCAACCCTCAAATTCGCTCTAGTATGAGGCAAGGGAAGATTCACTTTTAAAACTAAAAATGCAAGGGATAAATTATCCAATGATTAATTAATTAAAATAAATAACCTTAAATTTACCTAATGTCATCTTTCTGTCACTTTTACCTGCCCTTTTTATGCAGTAATGAAAAGCTGATGTTGCTAGTAGTTAAATTTATTGCAATCTGTTCAACCCTAAGCCATTCCTTTAAGAGGAGTGAAGGTATTTAGAAATCCAAGATTCAAGTTTTAGCAATCCCTATTCTCAATCCCCTAATTGTGTTTGTTAAAAAAATAAATTAATTAGTAAGTTTGTTGTATTTAGTTTGAGGATGGAATTGTACTTAGACTTGGTATTGGAACCAATTTAAAAATTTGATCTAATTCATTGTTTATTGTGAATACGATCATAAGTCTAAGATATGAATTTAAAATTTAATATGACTTAGATTGAAATTATATGAATTTGACTAAATTAAATTAGGAATAGGTTGAATCAACTTAAAAGGACTTAATTAAAATTAATTAATTTTTTAATATAAATTTTTTATTAATTATATTTTAAATTTTAAATATAAGATAAAATTAAATATTA